TTTAAAAAACTTTTTTCTATGTCTTTATAATTACTTCAATCTGAGAATTGACGAATGATGTTGGAATTCATGCCATCAAGCGCATGGTTTCTCCTGTACAGTAATATTTTTAGTATTATGCTTCAACGAAGGGGCAAAGCTTTTTGTGAGACACATAATGTTATGGATACATATTTTGTACATCGATGAAATTTTCAAGAGCCAGATATGTGGACGGAAAATTTTCGAAATTGCTTCAATGGCCACGATGTACGATATGCGCGAATCAATTTAATGACCTTCAAAATTATGTTATTAGAACTTGTCTTTTTTTTTATATGCATCGCGTGAGAAACTTTAGAATTTTTATGAAATATCTGATTTTGTTGTTGTAAACTGTAGAAAATGTTATGTGATTAAAAGCATTAAATTTTGTCATTTTGGTATAATTAAAACTACTTTTTGAACTTATGTACAGTGAGTATTTTTAGTTACAAATGTATTAATTTTATTTAGGAATTGGACTATTCTTTGGAATTGATGTTTATTTTTTATTTCTGCTCAAGGCTTTTAACTTTGCACCTTCATTCTCTTTGCTATTGTTCTTTATGCGTCTTCTCAGATTAAAGTTATTCTTTTTCAACTTCTTCTGAACTATCTTCTTTTTCTAAATTTGCACATTTTTCTGTTGTAATTTCTGTTTCAATTAAATTATGTAACTCCTTACAAAGTGTTTCTTCACAAACTTCACCATTTATAACAGTGTTGTCAATTACGTCATACCTATTTTTTGTATTATGTTCCACTACATCTTTGAAATCAGGTTCTATGATCTCTTCACAACTTTTAAACATGTCAGGATGTTCACTCGAATTCAATAATTCCGGGTTTTCATTAGAGTTTAAAATATCAGTGTTAACTTCATCATCTGTTGTATCGGTGGATTGTGAAACTTTTTTCAACACGCTGTCAATCAAATTGGAAGCAAAACTTTTATTCTCATTTCCTTCGTGAATGGTTTGATGAATTGGTAAAGTCTGTGGTCTATGCGGTCGTGCGTAAGGAAATGTATTTTCTTCCCCTGCTGGAGTATGAACAGCTGATATTTCAGTTTGTGTTGCAACACCATTATCAACACGATTTGGTTTTGACTGCATACTCGACATGCATCGTTTTATTTCGGACATAGAATCTTGTAATTGTTGAACCTAAATAAATATTAGATTTTTAAGGATTAGAGTCGGCATTAATATCATTAAATAGATTATAGAGATATAATTGATATTTTACCTGATTATGTAACAAGTTACATGTTTGTGCTAGATTAGTTACAACATCTACATTCTGTGCAATATTTTCAGTATCATTGCTTGTAGAATCTCGATTAGCAGTAGGTTGAAGACTGACAACTTTTTTCCATAATGCATTAATTGCTTGCATTTGTAATAATTGTAATTTATGTTCGCTTTCTAATGCAGTTCTAGTGGCTTCCATGTCAGTAGACAGTTTCCTAAAAGAATAATAAATTATACAATATTACAAAAAAGAAAAAAAAACACCTTGTATTTATGAAACTAAAAAATAAAAATCATACTGAATATATTTATTTGTTCTCAGCATTTCAATAGTCTTCAGTATAGTTGTTGCTTTTTTATTAAGGTTTCTAGTATGGTATCCTCTCCACATTCTCTGAATACAAATTGCTGCCTTCTCAGCTTCGTCGTGATCTATTTAAAAAATATAAAATTATTGTGCATCAATAAGGCATTTTGTAATATTTATTTATAGGAAAAAAGAATCACCTTTATTATCCTCCTGCCGTCGTTGAATAGCTCTATGTCGAATACTATCTAATTTTGCTTGACACACTTCACTATCCTCATCACTACTTTGAGTAGCATTATCTGCATCTCCATCTCCGCTTTTTTTTATTACACCACTTTTAATTCTATCATTTGCACTCTTTGGCCTTGGTATACTTCTGCCTAAATTTGGTGAATTTTTTGTACTTCGTTTTGCAGGCAATGTTTTGCTTTGAACGTAATTATTAATTTTCACACTATGTGGACATTTGATACTAGTATTCGTAATAATAGGTTTAGCAATATTTGGTTTTCCAATAGCGCAATTCGTAGCGGAATTACTTTTTACAAGTGCGTTTGCTTTTACAGTAGCGAGATTCGTCTTTGCCATTGGATTTACCGTATTTATTATAGGAATAGCTTTTCCATCTCCATCAGTAGTAGGTTTACTTGGCATTGTAATTTGACATGGTGATGTTAATTTACTTGTTGGAGTTTTTGCTAAAACTCGAGAGAGACCAGATGGTGGACGAAAATCTGGACTCATTAAAGATTCTGGAACTGGTACTAACTTTGTTGCAGCTTGCAGGGGACTGGATGTTTCTATAAACCAAATTTTTATTCAATATACAGTAGATGAAAATTAGTGACATTCGTAAACTTACCTTCTATTTCTTGTGAAACAGCCATATTTATGGTTTTGTTATTTAAAGTACCACAAAGCATATTTGGATCCAAACTTTGAGTCATCAATGTTTCTTGATCTTCGTTTAATAAGGCATGGCATGAAGCAACCATAGTGTGATCAGTGTGACAACTAGATACCATTCTATCTGGTGACCTTATTCTTAATGTATTCCTTGATGAACCTAAATTAAATGTCATCAACCTTACATATTTGTAATTAAATTCATAAATGATTACATATTTGATTGTATTTGTATTTTCTGTGACTAACTTCAGTAGCAGAAGCATGCAAACAATATCTGACTAAGGATAAACAATATAAAAATTGTGAACTATGTGAAATATATTTCCAAATCGTCAAATGTTAATTTGCTAAACAAATTTTCTAATTAGCATCATTATCATAACACTGCTGTATTTTCATTCTCCAAAGTCATTTGCGCTATAAGCTTAAAAACGCAATCACTTAAAAACATACTATATACTAGGCACAAAAGACATAAACATGTACACTAATCCAAGATAAAATTTCTTCATAGTACACAATACAATATTTTCCATATTATTTGATTTTCATTTCCAATGTTTTAAAGTTAGATAGTATTTGTCTTAGATTTTTACACATGCCTATAATGCAATTATAGCCGTGTATGATAAATTCTCATCTTGACTTTGGATACCTTTACGAGGTGAATAACACACACAGTACTTTGCTTCATAAAATTTTGGTGACTGTAAGCATTTATCTTCATAGTATGTCAACATTGGCGCAACTAGAGAAAACACATCATAACTAAGACATGTAGATATATGACGACTGGAAAGTGTACATCACTGCTAGTCCACTTTTATAATTATAACAAGAAAAACTTTACATACTGTTTCATTAGACTTGCAATAACAAAAGGAAAAAAAAATGAATTAATTAACTCACTGGCACGTCTAGGAGAACTTGTCCTGTTATGACTAAGTCTACGCCTAGTAGCTGGAGAAGGACTCATTCCAACGCTACTTAAGCTGTGCACACTTCCAGTATCACTTTGTTGACTTAATTGTTGCTGATGATGTTGTGCCTTACTCAAAATTAGCCTAAGCTTCCTGTCAGTTTCATTTTCTAGAGATTCACCAGAAAGTGGGCAGACAGATGCTAAATACTGTGCAAGCAGTGCATGTTCACCAACACGGAATTGTCTACCACGTCCCTGAGAATATAGCCACTCTGCTTTTAAACTGAGTGGCCAGCATTTCAAGTGAATTTTATTTTTTCTGAACTGTGTATAGTTCTGCAAACTACATTACATATGAAATAATTAATGTATAAAAAAGACCCACCTTTCAATAGGATCAACAGGATAGCCATCAATTGATTTCAAGCTCATACACCAATTGATAACAAAAGGTCGATAGTCAAAACCACTAGAAGCTATTTGTTAAGAAGCTATAGCTGTAAATCTACATTTAGTATGAATCTTTTTGTTTTATAACTAGCTTTCTACAAGCATAATATTGTATTGATAAAAAACAGTTCTATGTGATGACATTGAAAGTAATGAGAAAAGGTCATTTTATAAACAAATATTTTTGCAATATATCACTAATTGTTCTCTAAAGACTAAATATAAATAGAAATTTAAATTGTATAATTACAAAAAGGATACATACTGTTACCTGTCATACTAACACATGGGTTATTAGCAATTGAAAAGTTTACTAGATTTTTTAAATTAGCTAAATGTGACATTTCATTTAAGTCAGTAATGTTATTGTTTGCCAATGTAAATGTTTCCAAACAAGTGGGCAAGTAGCGTTCACATTGCCTTAATGTTATTATGCGATTGTTATGTAAAAACAGTTCCTAAAGTTTATAATGTTTAATAACTGTTAGTACTATTAAAATTAAAGTTAAACATGTAGCTATAAGTATTACCTTCAAATTTCGTAAATAAGAAATATCAGAGATGTGGCTGATACTATTTTCAGACAAGTCTAAATGCTCCAATTTAGTATTTGTGTGCAAATGTTCAATAGACTGCAAATTAACATCATATAAACACTTCATAATTAAAGCACAATAATGTGCATACATAAAGCTTGTATATATCATACCTTTATGTTATTCCCAGCTAAACAAAGTGTTTGTAAATTTATCATATCTTTTATACCTTCTATAGTCAATATACCATTGTTTGCCAAATTAAGAGTTACAAGATTATGTAACTTTGACACCCCATACATACGCAAGAGTTGATTCCTTACTATTGAAAGCTGAAATAATTTAATCATAAACTTTTTAAATAATCCTTTGTTTATTACACTAAAGATTATGATTGATATGTGCACAGTAAAAATATATCATATCATGAAGAAAGGTATACAGATATGTATTTCAAAAATATTAATTTCATTTAACACATATTGCATATATTATCTCATGAACGTATTACCTTAGTAATTCTGTGATAAGAATCAAGATTATCGAGACGTTGAAGCTCATTGTCGTCTATGATCAATGTACTGATATCTGCATCTGACGGGCAACGGGCAAGCTTCTTCAGACCATGACCACTTAAATCGAGTGTGTCGCATACTAAAGATTCTAAAATAAATAACAAAATGCCACTGTTATCAATGTTCAATTAAATATGCTGACATTTACATGTAAAACAACATGAAATGTCAAAAATGGCAAGAACGAAACCGCAATGAAATTACATTGCTTTTACAAGTATATCAATTAAATAACAATAGTTACAAAGATTTAAAATATAGTAGGAATATCTAGAATATGATTACAAAGATACTTTTTGTAAAAAGTACGTAATACAAATATTAAATTTTCACTAACCCGTCGAAGCCATGATGAATACAATAAACTGGTAGACGCTACGAAGATGTCGTCGTGATCACTATAGCGTTTAATAAGAATAGGTGACAAATATAGCAAAATATTGAATTTAATTTTAATTCAAATACACGAAAGGTAGAAGAAGCTATCACAATGATATTTTTTCTAATTGTACTTATTTTGATTAAATAGTAATATTTTCATACAATATAGGTATAATATTAATACTCTTGTATTGTTATTTTCATTTGATGAAATGAAAGTAATATAGTTTATATGTAGTTATATCATCTTTGTAATGTATTGTACATTATACAAATTTTTCAACTATGATAACCGTTAGTTGAGCGAGGAATTTTGAAATCGCGCGTTTAAAATTTAACATGGCGATTTAAGAGTTTAAAATATTTAGAATACATATAACTTCACTAATTGTTATATACGTATTGATTTATTTGAAATTTATATTCTGAATCGTATTTACAATTAACAGGTAAGATTTTACTTCATGTAATTCAGTATCAACAAATTTTTTAGTTATCTTCATGATAATAAAGTCACGTGTTAACTTCACCTGCAGTGAAATTATACAAAAGTGTAGGAAGCAAATTAATAATGAAACGTCATTTAATCAATATATCTCAGGGGCAGAAGTATTCTGTTTTAAACCATAATATGAATGACAATAAACCTAGGCAATTTTCAAACAAAATTATTCGTGCTAAAACGAATGACTCTTTTCTAACCTTAACGAGAAATACAAATACGTATAATGAAAAACACGAAAATATTAGTAAAAATGACGTTATTAAATCTTCAAGTATTTTATTAGATAAAAATCGAGTGAATATTAAAGAACAAAGTTCACCTATCATACCTAAACATTTCGAACAAATACTTGGCAAGCCAATACAAGTGGACACTAATGATTACGAAACTACTAACACCTCAATAGAATCCAAAGGTATACAAAAATTGAAAAATGAAAATGAACAGAAAGAAACTTGCAATAAAGGAACAAATGAAAGTAATACAAGAATTAATGAAATTAACATACAAATGCTTTCAAAATCATTACATGATCATATATTTAAGAACTCTTGTAAGCAGCAAGTTATATCACAGGCACAAGTACAATTTATAAAGAATAATTTACTTTTGTATGGGATCAAAACTGAAGATGCACACAGATTGCCAGAGGTTGACATTAAAATACCCCCTTTAGAAGGAAATGATATTGAACAACATTTTTATAACATTGGAGAGGCACAAATTAAGCCTTATATGAATCTTATAAAAACAATTATGAAGGATATTCCTCAAATGCCAAGTCAGTGGATGTTAAATGAAGGATGGACAAGATATACCCCTGATGGAATAGAAACTGTAGATCATCCATTAGAAGAAAGTATTATTTTTGATGTAGAAGTTTGTATGAAGGAAGGACATTTACCAACACTTGCAACTGCAGTAACTAATAAAGCATGGTATGGTTGGGTATCAAAATCTTTAGTAGATGGTATAAGTAGAAATTTTGAAGGTAAAGAGATTACTATGGATGAATTAATTCCAATGGAAAGTACAGCCACTGAACATGGAGAAAAATTAAATTCTTTCCATAAAAAACCAAAAATTATAGTGGGTCATAATGTATCCTTTGATAGAAGTAAGATTAAAGAGCAGTATTGGTTGAAACACACAGGCTTAAGATTTATCGACACAATGTCACTCCATATATGTGTAGGTGGAATTAATAGCTATCAGAGATCAATTTTAAACAATAAAGAAGAGACAGAGGAAAAATTTGACTTACAAATGCAAACCTCACTAAATAGTTTAGCAGAAATTTACAAATTTTATTGTCACTCTAAGATAGATAAAAAATCCAGAGATGTATTTGTAAATGGAACTTTGTCAGAGATCAGAGAAGATTTTAATTCTTTAATGACTTATTGTGCAAGTGATGTGATTGCAACCCATAGTGTGTTATGCTGTTTATTTCCTCTTTTTGAGGAAAGGTTTCCTCATCCTGTTACTTTGGCAGGGATGTTAGAACTTGGTACAGCATATCTACCTGTCAATTCTAACTGGCAGAAATACATAAACGAGTCAGAGTCTGTATTTGAAGATTTAAATTATGAAACTAAGATGACTCTTACTAACAGAGCTAATGCTGTTTGTGCACTTATGCATGATGAAAAATATAAAGAAGATTTATGGATGTGGAATGAAGATTGGAGTACACATTCACTTAAGCTAAAAAAAACATTTTTAAAAAGAAAAGATAAGAAGAACTGCATAGTGAAAGACAAGGTAAAAGAAGAGAAAACAGAGTCTCAAAAGTATTTAACAGACAATGAAGATGAAGAAGATCCTTTAGAGAAAGAATTTTCTTATTTACAAGAGACGAGAAAGTATTTACCTTCAAAATTACCACACATGCCAGGATATCCTGCATGGTACAGAAAACTTTGTCCTAGAAGGAACGATGAAAACTGGACACCGGGTCCTCAAAATATAAGCACTTCTATGCAAATTGTTCCAAAGCTTTTAAACCTAACATGGGAGAGTTATCCTTTGCATTACATAAGGGAAAAGGGTTGGGGTATCTTAGTACCTTACACTAACGACCTAAACATTAAATCTAATGTGCCCTTAAAACAGCTTTTGGCTCAATGTCCTTTACCACAAATGAAACATTTATCCAATGGAATAAATTATTCAACGTCAACATTTGACAATAATGTGCAAAATGATCTACATAAAACTGAATTCTGGTATATAAAGAAGGAAAAGCCTTGTGACGAATTCAATGATATTTATAAAGGCACTGCACATTGGTGCAATATCGACATAGAAAACTGTTGCTACTTTTTTAAGCTTCCACACAAAAATGGAGCAAGTTGCAACGTTGGTAATCCAATGGCCAAAGACTTTTTGAATAAGTTCTCTGAGCATGTACTAGCTGGTAAAGATGCCAGTGCTACGGAGATATTGAATATTGCTAAAATGGTGTCATATTGGAGAAATAATAGGGACAGAATTATGTCACAGTTCGTAGTATGGTTTGAAAATTCTTATTTACCAAGTAGTAGTAAAAACACCATGAACACAATGCGTTATGGAGCAATTTTACCTTTGGTAGTTGCTTGCGGAACGTTAACCAGACGAGCGGTAGAATCTACATGGATGACTGCTTCCAATGCTGATCCAGAACGTGTCGGTTCTGAACTGCGAGCAATGATCCAAGCACCACCGGGATACAACATCGTTGGCGCAGATGTCGACAGTCAAGAACTTTGGATTTCCTCGATGATAGGAGATGCTTACTATAAAAAAATTCACGGAGCTACACCGTTTGGATGGATGACTCTGATTGGCACCAAATTCAACGAGACTGACATGCACAGCGTCACTGCGAAAGCTATTGGAATTTCCAGGAGCCAAGCCAAAGTTATTAACTACGCTCGAATTTATGGCGCAGGCCAAAAGTTTGCCGAAAGGCTCTTGAAACAATTTAATCCGTGTATAACGGATGCTGAAGCCACATCGAAGTCTCGAAAAATGTTCACCATGACCAAGGGGAAGAAGATTTATCGAATGAAACCTGAATTTAATGATCAATTTGAGGATAGGGATTATTCGACTTACGAAGCGTACAAACTAGCAAAGTTACATGGTATACCTGTATGTAAGATGTTTGGAAAAAGCAAATGGGTAAAAGGTTCGGAATCTGCGATGTTCAACAGGCTGGAGGAAATCGCAAACAGTCCTCAACCTGTTACACCGTTCTTGAACTCTAGATTAACTCGTGCTTTAGAAACTAAGAATAGCGACAACAAATACTTACCTACGAAAGTTAATTGGGTAGTCCAGAGTGGAGCAGTCGATTTCTTGCATTTAATGCTAGTCTCTATGAAATGGTTGATGAAGGATAACGTAAGATTCTGTTTATCGTTTCACGACGAAGTACGATACCTGGTGCCATCACGATACAAGTACAACGCGGCGCTTGCCATGCACATTACTAATTTACTAACAAGATCCTTCTGCTCTTCGAGACTTGGAATGAAAGATCTCCCGATGTCGGTAGCATTTTTTACTTCCGTAGAAGTAGATACGGTGTTACGTAAAGAGTCCGAAAATGATTGTACCACGCCATCGAATCCTCATGGTTTGAAAAATGCATACAAAATTCCTCCAGGGGAAAGCTTAGACATATGGTCGGCAATAGAGAAATCTAAGGGCTCTTTGGGTTCATGGTACGGTACAAAAAAAGTCAAAGAGTAACTTGAGCCAAAAAATATCGATCGAAGTAAATGAAACCAAAGACTGATTAAGCATAAGAATAATGTATATATTTTTTAAAGCTGGTGAATAGCGTTAGGATATTATTTTTTAAGGCAATAGAGCGACAAAGGAAATAAAAGTGGTTTAGTTTACTCTAAGATTTACTATTTTACCTATGTTTGTATTTACAGATGAAAATGAGCAAAGCAACTAAACGTAAGCACGTGACAAAAGAAATCGCCGATTTCAGTATTCCTACGGAGTCACAGTCGATTGTACGAATAGTAGAATCGCGAGGTAACAATCTTCACGAAGTTGAAGATCCAAATGGAGATCAGTATCTCGTGTCTATGCCAACGAAATTTCGAAGAAACATTTGGGTGAAACGGGGAGATTTCGTTTTGGTAGAACCGATAACAGAAGGAGACAAAGTGAAAGCAGAAATCGTTAAGATATTAACACGAGTACGTTTCCCTGATGAATATTTGTATGAAATATTTGTATAAAATATTGTGTATTGAAAATAAAAACAACTTATTTATTAGGAGCATAAGAGGTGGTATCGCGAGCAGAACTGTTGGCCTCAGGTATTCGACGAAACTCCGAACTCGAATGGAAGAAAAACCGGTGAGAACGATAGCGAAGAAGAGGAACTTTTTGTAAATACAAACAGATTAGCGCATAATTGTAATAGGATAGATAACACGAGTGGTACAAGTTCCGATGAATCTGACTCTAGTTAGGTATTTTTCTATTATACTACTGTAAATAATAAAATTATTTCTGTATAAAAAATGAAAAAAAAGTCTGTTAACATTTTCCTAAATTATTTTCCATGGTTATTGGAACCGGTCGACTGTGAAATAACTGGCAGAGAAAAATCGAATATTTTATTTCACTATAAAAAAGAAATATGTCCCCGTTTGACGGAGAACGAGCGTTATCGCAAAAATTATCATTGTATTGTCTCTGGTTAATCTTATCGGCTAGTACATTTTTGCAGTTCGATACGCATTCTACCTTTCGTCAATTATTTTCTAACGTTAAACAAAAAAAATTCGATCTTTCTCGATCTCATCTTCTTCAATTCTACTCCAACAATATTCTCCAAAATTAAACGTACCACCTACTTGAAATTTTCTGTAAAA